TCTTATGACCGTGTGGACGCGAAGACAGTCCTTAAGTGAATGAAAAAACTGCCCAGGGAATAGCTGGCAAAGCTGCCTAGTTGTAGGGACGACTAGGCATTCCGGTCCTCCAATTGCAAATCAAATTCGTGGCAATCGTACCACTGACGTTACCCAAACTCACAGCAATAAGATGCTATTTCAAATTGCTCTCATAAAGATTCTTCACTAACAACCCATAGGCAACGAACTCGCCTAGCAAGCGTTGCTTGTTTTATCGATTAAAACAAAGATACGATGTGCATAAAAGTACAACTTAACGATAAGCCGTCCAACAATCGTTTGACCAATGAACACCTTAATTTGGGAAGTTGGCATATTATTGGTTAATGTCCCGCCAATAACAAAGTTGGAAGCACGTTATGTTGGCAGTCCGGCCGTGGCTGTAGGCAGCCTTCATTTTACGCGAGAGACGAAATGGAATCGCTTTGGTGGGCAATCTGCCTCCTGCCAAAGTTAGGGTTATACTATCTGCTCTACTGTCTCGTATATTCAATTCTGAAGTACACCGTTGGGAAGGCTCTCTTCTCCAAGCGTAAACAACTGAAAGCAGCAGGCGAGTGGGCAGTCATCACAGGAGCAGCCTCTGGAATTGGCCGCGGTTTCAGCCGCCAACTAGCAAAAGACGGACTAAATATCCTGCTGGTGGATGTTAACGCAGAAGGAGTTGCCAAAGTAGCAAGAGAAATCCAAGAAGAATTTAAGGTTCAAACAAAGACCTTAGTCGCCGATCTATCAGATGTGAGCCATTCCATTTATGGATTTTTGCGCTATGCACCATTACATATGTGCAGTAAATGTTCGTATGCGTAATGGTATGTTGACACTTAAAGATCCCATTCTGTACCTCAAAAACTATCTTAAAGCATTGCTTGTTGGAGATCTTTCCTAGAAAAATGCGCTCAACTTTCCCTTATACAGCCGATACTCTGTTGTGGTACGAATTTTTATATTGGGTAGATTTTGTTATACGTCTATTGACTTGGTTAATAAACCAGATTTAACCTAGTTAACATGTATATAAAATGCATATTTTCAATGTTAGTTCGTAGACGAATCGATGTCAATGTACTCTACGCTGCAAAGTCGGGACACATTAGAAACACGTTTTATCATTACTGGAGATATGTAAGGCATGGTTGCGTGTTATTACTTTGCAGAGGAACGTGGGCGATACATTCAAATGCATTTCAACATTGTGAAATTTTTATTTGCTCTCGATGATCCCTTCAAGTTATACCTGACTAGGCTGCCAAAGAAAATAAACATGTGAGTATGAAGATAGCTCGTTGGTTACCGACGGTTAATTACAGCAGATGTTATGAAAAGAGAGTGGCGACGTGACTCACTTCAGAATCATCTTACAAAAATATATTTCTTTAATTTTAAGCAGCGTACCCCTTCCAGTATTGTTCTTACTATCCCCAGTAAGTTAGAAATTTATTAGTGTATTCAGTTTCTCATAACCTTTATATCTCTGGTTATTTTCAATGAAGGAAGGTCTGAATCTTTGGTGAATAGTTGCATACCAATTGTAGTGAAATTGCGAAACTCAATTGACATGTTAAAAGAAGAAGGATTGATGACCGGGAAAGTATTTTTGTTGGTAAAGAAGACAAATGATCGAGCACTGGAAGGGGATGTATTTTTTCCTGAGCTTTCGAGCTCCTACAAAAGCCCATCGTCAGAGGTGGAGAAACAACAGCAGATGGGGTAGCTACTTGGGGCGTGTGTACAATAACTAAAATTTTGAAAGTGTAGAAAATCAATAATTGTGTGTTTGTGCTGCCGACTTGCCACTGAGGGC